AGGTGTTAGGGAATATGAGGTAAAAAAAAAACACATTATTAAAGGAAAGGAACAATATGATAAAATGCTTTAAGAAGACGGAATTTTGACATTAAAATCCCCGGATGTAATATATTCTTGGGGAAGATTGAAGAATCGTTTTTGAGGGGGTGAAGTTCTGCTAAAATATTCATCTACGGATTTCAGACCGCACTGTGATAGAAACAATAAGGTTAACGATGATAGTCTGAATAATGTGTAGACCTATATCTTTCATCTTCTCACCTCTATCGAGGTTACCATTTGTAATGTCAGGAAATAATATGATGAATTGGAAATATAAAGTAAATAAATATTAGCGCTGATGTAACGCAGAAAAAAAAACAAAAAAAGAAAAAAAAAACGTATCAAGAAGAAGATAATAAAGGGCTAAAAATGTTAGCATATAAAACAAATCTGATGAAAAGTTCAATGACAGGAAAAAAGATTTTTTTTTATAGATTCGAAGCAACCGTCGGAAAGATATGAACAGATATATAGAACAGACGTCACTAAACGCATATATATATATATATATATATATATATATATATATATATATATATATATATATATATATATATATATATATGTGTGTGTGTGCGTGTGTGTGTTCAAGAGTTTGTCTGTGTGTGAGTATGAGTATGTGTTTGCGTATACACGATCGGTACAAATTTAATGCGCGCACACATGCGCAGATTCACACAGATTCACAAACATCTAGGAATCATATCTGCTTGCGTATTATGCGATGTTTGAAGACCTAATTTTGAAGCATTAAATTTGACAATATAAATGGATATATTAGTTTGGTCAACGGCATAGCCAGGCCTAGCGGTACTTACGCTAATTTTATATCTTGCGCAACACCCATAAAATTAGCTTCAATATTATATATATATATATATATATATATATATATATATATATATATATATATATATTGTTTGAATGAAAACAGACTACTTTAAGGTTCCATGTAATAAGTTATTTCACCACAACTCTTTTAAAGGGCTCTGGATCATCAGACTTTACTTCCAAAAGTTGAAATGAAAAATGAAAAGAAACTTACACATTTTTGACGGACCGCACCAAGGAACGTAAAATTAACGAAGTGAGGAAGTGAGGTGGGAGAGAAGATATGAGTGAGTTAGATTTACCATTTCAATTCCTTATCTTTAACTCCACTCTGTGTAGGCTAGACGCCGCTTAACTAAACGTATGTTATCTCTAGATATAGATAGGTAAGGGGTGATGGAGAAGACCGACTTAAACGGGGGAAAATACAGCAAACAATAAAATAATAAATCATGTCTCTGAGCGCAGGTTTCACTCAATTTCTTAGACGCTGTTATTTCGCATTACTTTAAAGGGTATATTTGGGGGTTAAAGTTTGATATAAATCTAAATGTCTAAAAAAAACTACGAAGAATTTAATTTGATGTTTGTTGGAGTTTTGGGTATCTTCTATGAAATAGTCGAGTGGAAAAAATTCATAGAAAGTGCGCTTGGTGCGGTCCGTCAAAAATGTGTAAGTTTCTTTTCATTTTTCATTTCAACTTTTGGAAGTAAAGTCTGATGATCCAGAGCCCTTTAAAAAGGTTGTGGTGAAATAACTTATTACATGGAACCTTAAAATGGTCTGTTTTTATTCAAACATATTTGCTCTGAATTGTCATTGAGCTCTCCGGATATCATCCTACTTGGGTCTACCCATACGCATTACCTAGTTTTTCATAAACTAAGTAACTAACTATATACATATATATATAGTTTAGGCATATATATATAGAAATAGTTAGTTACTTAGTTTATGAAAAATTAGTTAATGCGTATGGGTAAACTAAGGAGGATAAAATCAGAGAGCTCAATGTAAATCAAACAAATAATTTAAATAAAAACAGACCACTTTAGGTTCCATATAGTAAATTATTTCAGCACAGACCTTTTAAAGGACTGCGGGTCATCTGACTTTACTTCTTTTTGTTTCAACCTTTGGAAGTAAAGTCTGATGATCCGCAGTCCTTAAAAAAACTGGGAAATAATTTATTACATGGAACCTTAAAGTGGTCTGTTTTTATTTAAATAATATATATATATATATATATATATATATATGCAAATTGAAAGGAAACGAATAATTCCGTTATTATTTACTTTTTTTCGTATTTTTCCAATGAAACATGACCCAGTGCACATGTTAGTACTTCGTATATTCATTCCAAGAAGTCGCTCCTTGCAGATTGACCACAGATTCTAGACTGGATTTAAATCAGGACAGTTTACGGGCCATTCTATATTACTTTGATTTGCTCACTGGTAAGGCTTGCCAGTGTGTTCGTGTTTTTTCTCCTACCACACCAAATATAACCAAACACAAACTAACATAAGCAGATTCAAATTTAAAAAAATAAGTCATTTTTTCTGATGATCGCAAAAGCGTGAAACCCAGGGTTACAAACTCATATCCATACAACTAACT